TATATAGTGTGCGTTTTGAGGAACTTAGTCTAAACACAGGTGTTTACGCAAGGTCTCAAAGAGTACAGCATGAGTGCGTTTCTCCATCGTTGCCTACGTGTCGAGAAATGTATTTGCTGTCATTGAAATCTGTCGTTCACCGGGCACAACATTAAACTCTTTGTATATTCAACATTCAACTTCTGGGTTCTGTCGGTGGCTCCTCGCATTGCAAAGACTTAGAAGCTACAATAGCCGAATCAGCACTATTATAGTTTCCATGAAGCTGGAAATAAGCCAGATTCGAATGGAAATTGCATTCCCAACCATTTAGTCGACCGGTTTGGATCCAATCTGTGGCTAGGGAAGGCTTCCTGCTAGGTTTGGTGGTATTCAACCACAACGTTCAAGTCTGAATCCCTGAGAGAAAGCATAAGCCGTCAAGTTGTGACCGAGTTTTCCGAGGATTTGGTACAGGCGATGTTTTTGGCACCATGTGTTTGTTCCATTGTAGATATCTGGCCCCCACGAGTTCCAAAACCCCGGTGTTCAAATAGCTTGTGACGAAAATCTTGTCGTTCTGGAATATGCAGACGACATCGCTCTCGTTTTCGAAGGGAAGAAGTTGCAGGTTTTTGGATGAACTGACCAAAGTCATCCCATTTTTTTATATGCACTTCGCACCTACAAATTGCAAATGGACATGTACTCACTGAATGCGCCGCTCACAATCCAGGAGGTTGCACTCAACCTGTTGAGCGTTTTATGCATCTTGGAAGTTGCATTAGCTCTGAATGTAGTGTGGCAGATGAGGTCAATCCACATATCTGCAAGGTTCGGTTCACGTTTGCTAATTTGAATCTCAATGGACGTGTGTATCGGGCTACAGTGCGGATGCTTTGTTGTATGGCTGATGATTGGCTTGTTTGAACAGCGAAACTGAGACGTCTTCAGGTGTTAGACAACCGTTGTCTCAGGACCATAGCTCGTGTGGGTTGGTGTCGGCGGATTTGTAACGAGGCCATCAGAAAGCAAGTTTTCGGTTGTGCAACGGGAACTTCTATTGAAGAATGTGTGGAACAACAGAAACTGCGTTGGTTAAGACATGTGTTGCGTATGTCGAATCATCGTTTGCCGAGGAGAGTGCTGTTTTCCATGCCCAATTCGGAGTGGCGGAAGCAGGGAGCTGGCCAACTCCTGAGCTGCCAGAGAGGTGCCGTCGGTGCTTCCAGAATGGGGACAGCAGGATCCCCACTGCGCCTGGTTGGAAACTCTGCAGGAAATGGCTGGTAATCGATGTCGACGGCATTCTTGTTGTCAGTCTCTATCCAGATTGCCTGAATGAGTGTCTGAAAGTGTAGGCACTTCGGGATGATTGTAGTAAGCTAACACTAAGTCCCTTCCCCGTCCACTTTTATCCTTTTCTTGACAATAAAGCTTTCACATAAACCACGGTTGTACGTCAGCGAAGCATCGGTGTTAAACACTGATGTCATGCTCTGTGAGTGATGCTGACGTCTTTCGGTGACTCAACCATCCTGTTGGTTCTGAATGAACTCCTCCTGATGTATCCTGAAGTTCATCTTATCCGTAGGGAGCCACCTGACTTATAGGGAAAGTGAGAAATCGCGTGCGCCCGTTGCCACGGTTGTCAGCGAAGCATCGGTGTTAAACACTGATGTCATGCTCTGTGAGTGATGCTGACGTCTTTCGGTGACTCAACCATCCTGTTGGTTCTGAATGAACTCCTCCTGATGTATCCTGAAGTTCATCTTATCCGTAGGGAGCCACCTGACTTATAGGGAAAGTGAGAAATCGCGTGCGCCCGTTGTCGAACGTTCAATTATGTTACTTGCATCCGGTCGTCAGCTAATTTGAGTGACTTTTGCCCCAGACATGATGAACGAGAGAAAGAAAATGTGGAGAAGTGACCGAGCAGGAAGTCAGTCATTTGGTAACAATTTACTGGATCACATGTGGTCATTCCCAGACAGTCGGTACCGTTTGTAAACTGGGATCAGACTCCCTCAAGTAGTGACAATGGATGTTCGATGGTATTTTTGTTGGTGACGTCCTCAATCTAATGAATGGAAATGTCATTTTTCTTCGTCCTATCTTACCAATCATTGTCTTCCTCCGGGCTGCTCCTTAAATTCTTATGTTCTTGGCTTTAGGCAATCTTCCTGTTCTCTGACTCCGGTAGGACTGTGAATCTGAGTTGATTTTCTTTCATATTCAGGCGTCGAGTGAATAATTCGTAAACAGTTTTCTTTCCAGATGGTAAGGTAGGCTCCGACCACTTTACTGGTTCATGTTGGTACTATGGTTCTGACCCGATCGGTTTGAGTTTCCTGAACTAGAAGTTCGGGACTTTTCTTTTTAACTACTAGAGAGTCAGATCCGACAAGTATCTTTGTAGTCAAACGGCACGGCTGAAGACTTACTCTGTAGGGTGCTTTTTCCAGATTGGTCCTGATGTAGCCTAGGAATCCCTCATGAAATTTTCTTCATTCTTGGATGCACGAGAGCTATTCACCGAAACGGTTCACCACATACGATCAATCCGGCATCTTTGTATTACGCACAAGGGTGCATTACAGAGATCGTCTGTATAAGAAGTTCGAAACTTTTCTTTCTAACTACTATCTCGCATTACTAGCGAATCAGATCCGACAAGTGTCTTTGTAGTCAAATGGCATGGCTGAAGACTTACTCTGTAGGGTGCTTTTTCCAGAGTGGTTCTGATGTAGCCTAGGAATCCCTCACAAAATTTTCTCCATTCCAGGATGCGCGAGAGCTATTCACTGAAACGGTTCACCACACGACCAATCCGGCATCTTTGTATTACGCACAAAGGGTGCATTACAGAGATCGTCTATATAATGATTAAAACTCGAACCCTCAAAAACAGGATGCGTATCTGAAGCAGCTCGTTGGGATGCGTATTACCTCGGGTTTCCGAGATTCGAAGACTTTGGTGTGGGCCCACACACAGACAGAAGCAAGACTGTTCGAACGAAAGCAATGTGGACGTGAATGTAGGCGTTGTTATCGAATTTCGTAACTTGGCGATTACGAAGCGGGAGAGGATGAAAAGGGCATTGTAATGATAGCTTGACATCCGGATAGGATTAGGTGAGCTCAAATGTGATGGGAGGTTATATCCCTGTCTAGGCTTGGGCAACCGGACAGTATCCCAGCCCTCGTGCTTCTTTCAGGTGGTATGGCAGTGGAGCACCGAAAGGGCGCTACAGCTGAACGACGATGACAACGGGAGGTTATGTATTGAAGGACGGGACGGGTGAAAACATCCAGTTAGCCTCGTCAGGATACGGCCAAGATTAAAACTATTTTCTATTGTATGTATGTCCTGTTTCAGTGGTGTCTGCCTAACGAAGAATAACAGATCTTTTCTGGCGACCGACAGTTCGAAGTTCGACGGGTGCCCAGTAGGTGTTTCGTGGGCTGTTCGTCAAGTGACCCGGCACGAAACTCCAGGGACCGTCGAACGTGCGATATCCGGGCTAGGAGTTTGAACACTTCACCGTTCGGCCACGGGTGGATGATCAGTAATGTGACTAACTCGCACTGAGACAGGATATAGTACCGCTCATCCTCCACTCACGAGATCCACATCACATGGTCAAATACTGACTGACTCCTTGAGTGACGACTCCTCAAAGGGAAGTTTCACACATCTTGTGAAATTGATGGTGGTGGGAGAGATTTTGTCATTTTCATCAGACAGTATTCGTATCTGGACTTGCAAAACTCCAGCCCTCGTTTTCCTTCAAACTGTAGTGCAGCTATGCACTGCCGGAAGAGTACCCTAGGCGAACTACCGCTGCTTACTATCATTGTTTAACCGTTCCACCCAGCTCTACTCTGTTCCGATGACACACTGAAAGTCGAACCTGGGAGCATCTTTGAACTCGCCTGAGGGGAAGTGACTGTCCTGGAGACTTTGCCAGAAAGCATTCGCCCTTATGTACTTCACGTCGGACAAAGGGTATCCAGTTGGTTGCTCACGCGGCTCAAGACAAACCTCATGTTGTCTATTAACCTACCTAGTTCGATGGGAAAAACGAACTCGAAAACAGATGCCAGCCCACTTTATGTGAGTGCGGAATCTGTGCAGTCAATAACCGAAGCAGATCCGGACCTAAAGTATCTTCATTTCCCATAAATATTGCATAGTAATGGCACTGTTCGTCCCGTCTTGATAAATGATGACAACTGTCGAATCATTCCGCCTGGATACGTTGTAATCCATTCGCACTATTCGGTCAGTCACTTACGATGTCGTTAGTTATGTTGTCAATTTTACCTCACGGGACGGAAGAACAACACTGCTTGCTAAACTTGTTTCGTGTATACCACGGCAATTAACCATAGAGCAATAATTCTCTTTGATCCACTTTTTCCTTCAGGATATCTCATTTGATATTCGGTTCCATGGATTATCTCTATCGTTCAAAGTTCTGTTAATCAAAAGACCAAGTGCCAATCGTCCTACAACTGAAGCAGCTTGTTTCAGGTGAACTACATCAATGCTGAATTCCTTAGAGGATTCTGCATCTAGTTCAATCATTCGTTTCAGAGTCGATCGTAAGCACACATTTGCTCAGCGCTGGTTGTGTGAAAGACCCTGTGTGTGTGTGAGTCCAGATGCTCAAATCCTACTTACGTGATTTGTCCATATAATCGTTCAGCTGTAGCACCCTTTCGCTGCTTAGCTGCCATGCCACACGAAGGAGGCACGAGGGCTGGGATACTGCCAGGTCGCCCAAGCCTAGACAGGGGAAGTCGAGAGGCAGAGGTCGGGTTCGAACCACGGACCTTATTCGCGCTCTAACCACTTGAGCCATCTTGACCCCTGTCCATATAGCAATTTCGTTTGCTTGTTTCAAAGCCCGTAACTTTTCTGCAGTGTTAAATTCAAACAGCCTTGTTACATTGGAGAAGCATAATCTATTTGGCAGTTTTGCGGATTGCCTAGCGACCCAAAACAAGTTATTCGCAGTGTCCAGTTCTAACTGGCACTCCAGGACCAACCGGGTAACAAACAGCTTTGCCATTGTTCAACCACTTCCCACGTGATGCAATTTTTCTACACTTGCTTGCTTGCTTCCTGTTCGTACCTAATCATGCTTCGCTTGTGCACACCAATCGATTCTTCCGTTTACTCTCGTTTTCTTAGGGTTCATTGCCCGCCATCTTGCCTAGTTGAGCGCCTGAGGAAACATTGCTCTCCGTCTAGTCTCATCATTGCCTGAAACACGTCCCACTCGGGCGCCGGAAAACCGTCTAATGTCTTTGGTCTTTCAAATGCCATAGTAGTTTCTTCAGAATGACCTGTGAGCAGATTCAGTAGAAACTTTTTTCTCCGATAGTTGATGAACGTTTGTGTCTTTTCCATGAGTTGAGCTGAGTAGTTACAAAAAACGTTCCGCCCATTGTTACAAGTGTTGGGACAGACCCAAGCGGACGAATAGTAACTTAAAACTCTCCAAACCCAACGAGTTCCCACCTTAACAATGTCCCAAAACGCTTGGAGCTAACTAAATCACACCACAGGGCTCAGTGGTTAGAGCGAGAATTTACTGATTGGAAGGTCGCTGGTTCGAACCCAACCTCTGGCTCTCGACTTCCCCTGTCTGGGCTTGGGCAACTTGGCACTATCACAGCTCTCGTGCTTCCTTTGGTTGGCACGGCAGCTAGGCACCGAGAGGATGTTAAAGCTGAACGATAAAATACGACGAACCCTGTAAACATGCAGTGTTGACGTCCGTTTGCTCAACCAATCGCTGAGTGTCAGTGGAGGTACTGTAAGACGGTACACTTTTTATGGTGTGAGTAGCTTAGTGTGATAAGCGGTGTATTCCAGCGTTCGACAACACAATTTTTATGGCCTCAGTTGTCCCCTGTGTAAAAATGGTTTTTCCCCAGTGAAGAATCACCACGGTCGGAAATAGCTGATTCGAAAGATGTTGAGTTCAGTTAGCTACATATTTAGAGGCGCGTTTAATGAAAAAGAGCCTGTCTGAAGTGGCAGTAACCCTTGAGTCCTTTTAGTTCTGTATATTTTTACCCAGATATGCATTTTCTGCTCAGAGCACCCCGTTTTCTCTTTCTTCAGGTAAAGGATGCGGTTGATTTGGTAACTTTACGTAGACAGGCTGTCAAAGTGATCAGCAAGCTGGCCATCCGTAAAATTCCCGGCGGTTGGTCTCAGGTTCTTCTGGAAGCCAGCGTCATGCTTCGGCTCCCACCGCATCGACACATTGTCTCCTTACTATCTGTACTCCGATTAGACAATCCGGATCGGCTGTGTTTGGTGATGGAACACTGCCTGGGTTCAGTGCATGATCTCCAAGCTGCCGGTGTTCCCTCCATCCCGGGTGAGGAGGATGAGGAATTCGATGTTGGTTTGAAATTTGCTCCTGGAGCAGGCAAAGAATCCACTGGTACAGACAACCCGCGATCTTCCATTCCCTGTCAGGCCACTTCTGACGCGCATCATAACTCCGAATCCACTCGACGTGCCCCCAAACCGAATCGCTTCAGTCGCCAATTACCCACCATTTCCACTGACATTAAGCAAGAAACCAAGAAGTTTGCTGATGCCTTCCGCCGTCGGAAAGTCTCCAATATAGAACATGGACACAGGAAAAAATCGATACCCCAACACACTCAACAGCAACAATTCCGTCGACTTCCTGAAGCGCAGGCGCATGCCTATTTTTTGCAGGTGAGCACGTCTCAGTTGTGGTGGGTTCCGTTTCCATCCGCACTGAGTTGGGGTTTCTCCAACATGTTGGATAAAAGTGTCCACTTTGCCTGTTATACTAATGCTTTTATGCGTGAGTCTTTTATCATCATTGTCGTCATTGCGAGCAACAGAGACCTCTCCTAGAAGCCCTTTATCACAGTCTTCCCGTCCACGGACACCGCACCCATGTTAAAAGTAAGTGTAACTTCGTAGTGCACTACTCGTAAGGTTGCTGAAAATTCTTCGACAGCCGAGGACCGGTTTCGCCCTTCTTGGGGTTCATCAGGTAGACGCAGTTCCCGAGTTTCCATCGACCTTCTGTTCTACTTGTTTGCAAATAAGTGTATTTCGCTAAGCGGAACCTCTTTAGGAAGGTAACACCTTACAAACGCATTGCATTTGGACAACAGCACACACACTACCGACCAACTATGATGGTCTTTCTTGACTTCAACGAAACTTTCGACTACGTGGATAGGTTGGCTCTTTTACATATACTTGACCAGCGATAGATGTCCTCGAAGTTTGTATCAGTTATTTCCCTACTTCTGGTCACCTTAGAGATTACAATGAGCTATCCGAAAAATTCCTCACAGTTACTGGGGTTCGGTGGCGATGTCCGTTCTCCCCCTATCTTTTTTGTCGCCTTGTCATTGATACCATTGAGTATATGCTTCACAGAAGGATTGGTGAACTTAAAGTATGCGGATGACGTTGTTCTTTTGACAACCACAGGTCTGTACAGACTACCCTGAATGGCGTATCGGAAGTGGTCCCCCGTTTCGGTATGCAGTTTGCGCATTTAGATTGCAATGTGTTACTTCAGAATTTCCCACCGCCGTGTATCCCTTTCCAGCTTGAGATTGAGGAGCTTGAATTTGCTGATAGATTCAGATTTATTGGCAGCTGCGACTTCCCGGTGACGTACGAAGTCAGCGAACGTGTAACTATGGTACAAGCGATATTTTCTGGCAAACAAATATCGCTAAAGTTAGGGAACAGTGTCTACAGAACCACCGTGGCAGCAGTCCTACTCTATGACTGTGAAACTTAGTCAATTTGATCTGAGGACCTTTAACGTCTTCAGATACTTGATCGCCGCTCTCTCCGTAGTTTTGTAGGCGTTACCAGGCTGTAAGCGAGTACCAGATAATGAGTCGGATTCGCTCTATCTGCGTATAGGGTTTATCTGGTCAAGTTGGTTAAGGCATGTGTTACTTATACCCGACCATCGTTTACCAAAGAAAGTCTTGCTTTCTATTCCAAACCCCTGTTGGTGAAAAGTTCGCAGTGCATAGTCGACGACGTGACAAAGCGAGACGAAAGTAGCTGCTATCAGTTAAAGAGCTATGAGATATTCGTACCTTCCTGGGTGTGCTAAACGTGGCTCTCCTTGCGCGTAGCTCGAAACTCTGCAGGATATGACACGCAGCCGATCCCAGGGGCGAACGTGCCGTCACTTCTTGGCCGGATTGCTGAGCTAACGCTCATCCGTCGCTGTGCTCAGGGCTATTTTTGTTGAGGTCCGCGGAGGACGTTGGCTCACTCCTGTCGATAACCTTTTGGCTTATCAGATGTTCGGTTACGTTTGTCCCAATTGGCTGTTTCCTTGTGGGACAGGATTTTCGCAATAAGTCCCCACATCCTTCCCTCTCCCTTTGACCCTTTTCTAGAGCCTTCTCACTCCATGGTTGTATGGCAGTTAAACACTTTCCTGCCGTTGTTATGTTGTGTATGTTGACGTCCGCCCGTGAAGCTACAATGTGAGGTCGTTAAAACCGCATTAACAAGGCAATAGCAAAACTCTTTGGCATGTCACGGTAATGGTTAAGATTGATTGATTATGATTGATCGGTCATAGCACAGCTTCGGGTTCGTGGCACGTCGCTATACCTTCGTCTAAGTGGCCTGTCGCTTGGCAACCCCATGTGACCCGCATTTGTACAGGCCTGGTCAATGAGGAATTAATCACTTTGTAGTTTCACTGCTAAGGCATAGGCTGTCGACTGAAAGGTGCGTGGCTCCTGATCCGCACTTACTTCCTCGACCGCTTCTGCATCGGTATGGCATCTTCTAAATTTTGTTTCCTCCGACGTCTGTACACCATATATTTATTGTCTGATTCCATCTGTTGGAATCGGATTGTTTCTGGTAGCCTAGCCGATGGCATTATCGAGAGGGTGGTCCGTAGGGTCTACATGACCCTCGGTTGGATAAAAGATCGTTCGGCTGCAGCACTCTTTAGGTGCCAAACTGCCATGCCATACGAAGGAAGCACGAGGGCTGGGATACTGTCAGGTTGCCCAAGCCTAAACAGGGGAAGTCAAGAGGCGGAGGTCGGATTCGCGTTCTGACCACTTGGGCCATCTCGCCTGACAGCTAGGCGCCGAAAGGGTGTTACAGCTGAGTGATTATTTATGTTAATAATGGACCGCAGTTGTATTCAGCCATGTGCACCTCTGTATGAAGTATCTCAGTTGAGAAGCTCTTCTCACGAAGACCGACTTCCGCAGAACCTTCTTCGCCAAAATACATGAGAACCCTACCTACGGCGTTGGACAAAGCCTGATCACACCATACAACCCTCCGTTTAGACAAAACAGACAGCGCTACTAATTGCTATTGTTTATCAGTATTACTAGTTTACTAATGAATGTTCCATCCTCGTGAACCGTTTCAATACGTTCAAAAAGCCAATACGTCTATGTTGTGTGAAGCTGCATTGGTAAGATGAAAATAGGCTCATTTGCCGTCCCTATCCTCGTGATAACACTAAACTACTATTGGAGCACAATGCGTCTTCTTCTGTTCATGCATATTGTCCCTATCCTCGTGGTAGCACTAAACAACTATTGGATGTTAGAGCACAATGCGTCTTCTTCTGTTCATGCAAAAGAACATCTTCGGGAGACGGTTCATTCTGCCCTACTCGATGCATCTCTCAGGATTGGCGACTGAACATGACATTGATGCAGTTTGTGGTATATCAACTGCTTTCACCTTTCTCCCTGTGACCGTATTCACACACGCACCTGTCTCTGGAGTTGGCATCTTGTTTACTTGTTGGACTGTGTCGCTTAGCGCAGCGTTAACTGAATAGGGGATGAGAAGAATTTGGCGAACGGAGGATCAGATGACGGAAGTTTTTGTATTAAGTGATGGCCTCTCATTTCGTTGGTTCACATCTTCGTGAACAGGTTGCTTTATCACGGGACTGCTCAACTTACGTGTGATTCCTGTATGCATGCATTAGTCGTAAATTGCTGTGACCGCTTTAAGTGGACTGGCAACAAAGCCGGAGAATGGTTTGGACAGTGGGTGATATTACTTCCATTCGTATAGTTTACCTTTCTGGTTGTAGCTCTTTGTTTAACTGTCTCACCCTTTTTCTAATAAAAGCTTGATGATAGTCTCTGAGCGTGGCCGATCCTGGTGATATTCGGTCAGTAAAACAATGAACCTATACCACCCTTTCGTGAGACTCGAGGGGCTGAGGTAGTGCCAGGTTGCTCAAGCCTAGATTAAGCCGTTGAATCTGTGGAATACTAACAGTGAACACTTTTTTCAGAGGGACTTTAGAGAGAAGTGTTCTTTGTCAAGAGGCTGCACTCCTCGATCAGCGACCTAGATAATCTCTCGAAAAAATATGCCAGTACCATAACTGGGTATAAAGCAAAATGCCCGGTTCTTAAAGAAGTCCATTCCCTCCACAGGAACCACTCACGGGCAGGGATTGCCTGCTGTTCCACTGGTTCTCATGGATTCTTATGTTTAGCACATACCAATTAGGTAAACGCGTCCGCCGTCCATCCGGTATTTCACAGTCGACAGAATCCTCCAAGACCTGACGAAAATCACTGTCACGTGGTGGTCCGCCACTCTATCGCCTGACACCTTAGCATGGCACGTGACCAGAGTATTCACATGACGTGGCTAGCTCAGCTAACGAGTCCTTTATTTATGGCGACGCTTGAGTCGATCACGGGCTCACGCCATTTGTTCACTTATTGTGAGAGTCACGCAGCAGGATTAAATTGACACGAGGATAGTGTTTAGTCTAAATGAAATGGGCTGTCACGTGCTTGTTTGTTGTTGTCGCTGCTGTTGTGGATGGGTGAACGGACGCCTGAGTGTTTGCATTAAGCCATGAGGTATTCGGGGAATTCGGAACGGGTTGTATACAATTGCCTGTCATACTTTTGTGTGTGTGCACACTTGAAAATTCTTTTGGTTGTAGCCAACTTGTCTCACATATTCTTTGCAAGCGGGATGGTGTTGAGCACAGTTGTGCGATTAAAAATTGTATGCCTTGGCTAAATGGTATTAGATACTTGTTTGAGAACCCTTTTATGTTTGCTTCCTTGCTTTCGTCGACTACAGGGCCGTTCCCAGTCTACTCGCGAAGTGTCTCTCTCGAATTCAGTCTCGTATCGAGCATCTACAGGAGAAAAACTGTCAATTTTCTTGACATAACGGAGGTTTTCGCGATAGACTGGAAAACAGAAGCATGAATTGAAAGGTTTAAGATGTGGTCTCTTGACAGGGGGTGCTGTTCGTCTTCCAGGATGGGACCCAAGTATCCCTCTCCATGTTTGACCGGAGACACTGAAAGATATGGCAGCTGACGGACATCAGTAGCCTTCGTGCTGTTGTTATCTGGCCAGATCTTGGTGCTTGAGGTGTAAATACCTTGGGTGGCAGGCTTGTCCTCCCTTCCCTGTTTCATTCTTCCATTACAAGGCTTTATTAAAATAATTTGATATATCTATAACAGCAAAGTTGTTGTTCTTTCGCTCGAATTTCCGCACTCCCGGGAACTGGCAGCTCCTAGGAGTTTAAGATCAAGTCGTCGTAGCCCGGAAAAATCCGGTGATCTGAGCGCAGTTCAGAATGACTGCAGAATAACAGTTGTCTTCCTCTCTCTCTCTCTCTCTCTCTCTCGTTGTTTGGCTATGTCGAATCATAAACCAAGATAGAAAACAGTGTGTTTGATGATTACCGAGTTCTACGTTTGCCTGTCGCTCAGACCGCGTGGCACACCAGTCAGTTTGAACTGAATAGAATGTGCCTCTGTTCGAATACACTTTGGTTTCAGGTTACATTATAAGGCCAACAATCCACACGCACACACACACAATATTTCAAACTCAAACCAGGAAAAGGTGATTTCCTTGTTTAACCTCATTTTGGCTTGCGTTGATTCTGCACACCGTACGGTGTCGATCAACCTATCCGTCTGTCTGGTTCGCCGCGCACGCGCGGGCAGTGGGGTTGTTGCACGTGCGGCCAATTGACTGTTCGTCTCCTTCTTTGTGGTCCATGTGAATTTTTAGCCTTCCTGTTGCGCTGTGGATGATGGTGAAATCAACACCACTGCTGCATATAAGTTTCAAAACCTCGGAAAAATACACTCATTTGCAAATAAATTTGGTTTTGAGCGAGACCCACCCAGCTGAATCTCTCGTTTATGAGGTTTTTTGCTCCTTTGCGGTTTTTTTTAAAGTGGCTGACAGATGGTCTTGTGCCCACGTGATAATCGATTATTATCGGTTTTTGTTGGAGGATTTCGAAAAATGTTTTGATTGCCAATCATTCATGTCTCGCCTGCACTCGCTCACGTCCGCCAGAAATCATCATCATCATCATCATCGACAGCATGACATCAGTGTTCAACACCGATGCTTCACTGCCTTCCGCCAGAAAAATCTATTTAGCTAAGCGGTTTCGTGCAGTTCCCCCGGCTTTTTGTTCGAGGCCATCAGTATGCGTGATTATCACTTGATATCTGCTGCTGTGAACTCGTCATGTGGATTCCGCAATAGGCTAGCCGTCGATATCGTCCCGACGCACATTGGTTTGATACAAGTATGAAAGCTGCTCGATAGGAACCCGAATACGCATAAAATGGATGGGAAAAGGCAGATAGCCAGAGTGGTGACACTAACTAACCCGTGGCCGCTTGCTAGGCAGGCAAGTGTCCTATCGGCAGACCCTTACCCACGTCACACATCTTTGTCCTACATATGTCAAGTAACCTTATAGGTCCACGCGTCAATTGTATCAGCTACCGCCTCCAGTGCGCAGCTATTTACCCTCTCCTCAAATCATGGGTGAACGAAACTGTGGCAGCTAGAAGCCTTGTGCGGCAGGTACGCGGTTCTTACAGCTGATGATGGTGATGATATACAATGATAATAATCTATAATCATTCAGCTCTAACACCCTTTCAATGGCTACCTGCCATGCCACCCGAAGGAAGCACGAGGGCTGGGATACTGCCAGGTTGCCCAAGCCTAGACAGGGGAAGTCGGGTTCGAACCACGGACCTTCCGGTCAGCAACTTTGCGCTCCAGTCACTTGGGCCATCTCGCTCAAGGATGATAAGAATGATGGGAATGAGGATGATGATGGTAAATGAGTGTTTGGAGGTGTAGGCACCTCGGATTGATTGTAGTAAGCTAGCACCAAGTCCCTTCCCAGTCTTTCTTTTCTTTACAATAAGGCTTTCAAATAAATCTTGGTTGTATGGCAGCGAAGCATCAATGCTAAACACTGATGTCATGCTGTCGTTGATGATGATGGTGATTCCTCCTGGAGAACGATGAGTTCACTCCAATAGTGTCGCAAACCACGGTGAAAATACTAAACGTCTCGACTAGCAGCTATTCGGCACTGAGAAACGGATTTCATCTCGAGTTGTGTTCCCACTGAGAATGCATGTGGAACACAAAAAAGCAAAGTACATTTATTCCACGGCTTGTGATGGAATGCTATCGATACTTTGGAAAAGCAATGTCATAGTCAGCACGGGTGTCGCCCAGTCTGTCTGGTTTCTTATGTTTGTAACCGACCTCCGCCTCTCGACTTCCCCTGTCTAGGCTTGGGCAACCTGGCAGTATCCAAGCCCTCGTGCTTCCTTCGGGTGGCATGGCAGCTAGCCATTGAAAGGGTGCTACAGCTGAACGCACTCTTTATTTCTTATGTTTGTAAGGAACACACAGTGATGCATCGGCAGTCCTGTTGTAGGGGTTCTCAACTTTTCTTCAGCATATGATATTAATTCCTTCTTTCTAATACTCAGTAAAGGGATGTCGATGGTGAATACCTCAAACCTTAAATCACAGAAGCCTCAGCCAACAAACCTGAGCTCACCTTTCCTCTATCCTCCCGGTTAAGGACTGTTTGACTGGAAGCTTCGGCCTTGTCACAAAGAGTGTGGAGATTGCCGTGATGTGACGGGCTGCGAACCTCCGTGACCCGTTGAGCTATTCTGGCACTTGCTTATTCTCTTATGCCAGACTGGTCAAAGAATAGCGGTTAGACTAAGATTGTCTCCTAGTCCTCCAGGTTACGGTCAGGCTTTTTATCCAAAATCCTTGGTTGACTGACGNACTAAGATTGTCTCCTAGTCCTCCAGGTTACGGTCAGGCTTTTTATCCAAAATCCTTGGTTGACGGCCCTAATAGTCCTCCCGTCTACGTTGGCAAAACCAAGAGCCTCGTACAGCCACAAACTGTGTACTGTGTATGGAAGCTCAGTACCAGTTCCCCCTACCACTGTTTTGCTGTCCTCAACTTCCGTCGTATTTGGAAGTATCGCTGAGATGAAACAGTTGAAAAAAACAGGTCTCATCTAAGCATAGTATGCTCACATTCCATTGTTATCATCATTTCTAGCATCGTGCCACGGACAGAACCATAGCCTTCACATTTCGACTCATAGTTGGTGTTATGCACCACATTTATCAAACTTTTGGCTGTAAATGGTTCCTCTGATGACCTTTTCAACCGAAGTAACTTGTTGCCCGGCTCATGCGTCGTCATACCCACTCTGCGCCCTAAAATGTCTAATGTTTTGTTTTTTCATCGCAGCTCATCGATGGCCTGGACTTCCTTCATCGAAACGGTGTGATCCATCGAGACATCAAACCGGCCAACCTCCTCCTCACACCGGCCCCCGGTTGCGGTTTGGGTGATCTACACAGTGTGGCTGAATTCATGGATGCTGCGGACTCAGGCTGGTTGGATGGGAACGGCGGACAGTCGGGGTTTTTAGGGCGCTCTCTTTCTGATCTTTTGGCGGCCTCTAGAGGATGGTTGGTGAAACTCACTGATTTCGGTGTCTCTGCATCCCTTTCTGCCTTCCAGCCAACTGACCAGGTAAGCCAAATTACTGACTGAGTGACTTCTGGTTTAACGGGGTGCGAGATGGACCAAGTGGTTAGAGCTCAAATTTATTGACCGGTAGGTTCGTGGTTCGAACCCGACCTGTCTGAGCTTGGGCGACCTGGCAGTATCCCAGCCTCGTGCCTTGCTCGTGTGGCATGGCAGCTAGTCCACCGAAAGGTGCTACAGCTGAACGATAACGACAAATCATACACTACAACTGACAATAGCGTAGAAGATGACAAACCTTGGTGGCAATCGACCACTCTAACCTATCGCCTGACAAACCGTGAGGTCTCGAGGTGTCTAGTTCGCCAATTTGTTATGCACACCTGCTTGCTTGTGGATTGCAAGTTCTATTGTCCAGAAATAACCACCCTTTAGAAAAACCGCACCTGCCTTCAGAGATGATCGGCAGCATTATTGTTGATTTCGCACAGTCGAGTCGTTTACGATGCACTGAATATCGTACAGTGCAGCTAAAAAGCGTCTGATTTCGGCTTAGCCGATTTTTTTTTTTTGCCTGAGGGAATTTCGTGAACTAAGGCTCGGAAACATCTCTGGGGATTTATTAAACCGGAGGCAAGGGTAGAGTAATAGGATTTATTGTCGGCAGTTGAGCAGTCGGTGAATAACCTGGATGTTTGGACAACTCCGCTCCAAGCAGACTATTAGGGAGATGAAAGAAGTTGGATGTTGTGAGTTTTTGGCATACAACGGGGGCAATCCGCACAGTAATCATGCTGTTACTCAACTCTCCGCGAATCTCACCAGGGGCCATTCATTGACTCGACAACTGGAACAAACCTGAGAAGTGCAAATGGGTCTTTATCCGGTTTTCCTCATTATAACACTGCTTTATTGTTTTGACCGATTCATTTCCACATAGATTTTCGGTGGATCCAGTACAAACTATCGAGTGGAGGACAATACGGGGAGGATATTCTCTGTCACCGTGGTGTTTGCACTAGTTTAAACTTTCCAGAAAATTTGTTCTCGCGGTTATTTTACACCACATGAAGTTGCAAGATGGCTCAAGTGGTTAGAGCGCGAATTTACTGACCGGATGGTCTGTGGTTCGATCCCGACCTCCGCCTCTCGACTTCCCCTGTCTAGGCTTGGGCAATCTGGCAGTATCCAAGCCCTCGTGCTTCCTTCGGGTGGCATGGCAGCTAGGCACCGAAAGGGTGCTACAGCTGACTGGGTTGGGTTACATGAAGTCGCGTCCGACAGGGCTGTCTTCTTTCGCCATTCCTCTTCCACTTCGTCATTGATACGATCACTACCAGCCTCTGACACCTCTGGGGTCGAAGTTCTCCTGGGCCGTCCGCTCACAGATATCGAGTACGCAGACGATATAGCTCTTTTTAGATCTGACCCCGTAGCAATGCAAACAATAGTAGATAATCTAAATTATTCTGCCTCACGGTTTGGCATATGTTTCACACCTACAAAGTGTAAAGTGCCACTGCAAAACTGGGTGGGCTTAAACCCTAGCCTCATGCTTGAGGATGAACCGATTGAGATAGTAGACAAATTTGTTTACTTGAGCAGCTGTATCAGTCCCGATGGTCTCGCGAAAGATGATATTTCCATCCGGATAGGGAAGGCCAGAGCAGCTCCTGTTGAAAGTTAATCAATCTACGGCGGACCAACCTAGCAAGTCAATCGGGAGTCAACTTTTATCCTCCTTATGCGGGGCGAGATGGCTCAAGCGGTTAGAGAGCGAATTTACTGACCGGAAGGTCCGTGTTCCGAACCCGATCTCTGCCTCTCGACTTCCCCTGTCTAGGCTTGGGCAACCTGACAGTAGCCCAGCCCTCGTGCTTCCTTCGTGTGGCATGGCAGCCAAGCAACGAAAGGGTGTTACAGCTGGGACGTTTGCAGTACAATACCTAATCCCTCAGTGCTCAAGAGCAGGCTGCACTCCATTTCAATGGGACCGTGCCATACTCTTAGTCTATTGACTTACCAAGATATTCGTCTTTTTTGGCAGTGATGCCTCTGCCCTTCCCCGAAATAGTCTACTGAAATCGTTTCAACGTACCCTGCACGAACTCGAGTTCCCCTTTACCCCTTCTACTGGTTTTGATTCACTTTTTCAAGTCCCTAGTTTTACAAGTCGATCACAACCCTGCAGCTGCCACGGTGGCCTGTGCCACCGGCATTCCAAAACTTCCATCACCTGGGTTAATCTTCCGTTTCTTTTGCACTACTGCCTCCTGACACTCCGGATATGAATACACCTCGTGCGTTGTGTCACCTGAATGCAGTTCATACCGCGTGTTCGCTGCCGACAGCCAGCCACTGCAGACCGATTCGGGTGCAGGTGTGTCTGCATGTTGTCTCACCTTTTTCCGCCTGGTTAAAAATAACTCACGTCCGTTTAGAATCGATTGACACAGTATCGATCAACTCTGCGGGCTTGTGAAAATTTTTCGGAGGGTTGCCAGGTGCGCATCGATAGCCGGCCTTCTTGCCAATGTTTTTGTGGTTTATGGTGGTGTGAACAGAATAAGACAACCTCATGTTCACTCCGTCCCTCAGCTTGAATGCCTTTCATCACGACCGAGTTGGAAATTGCCTCACAACCTTCGTCAGCTCCCTCATCCGATGGTTGAATAGTTCACACTGGATGTTCGTCCTACTTTAGTCATCCGTAGCCGGCATGATCAAGTTTGACCCACAAAAAATTTGTAAGCACTGTGTCATTCTCCTTGCATTCCGGCTGTGATTTCATGAGCTGGTGATGTTTATAGGCAATAACAACAATGATATTAGTAATCGTTCGGCGGCACATAGCTGCCATGCCGACGGAATGAGGTACGAAGGCCTGGATACTGCCAGAACACCCAAGCCTAGACAGGAGCAGTCTAGATGCAGAGACAGGGTTCGAACCACGAACCGTTTGTTCGGTAAATTCGCGCTCAAACCACTTAGTCATCTCTAGTTCATGTTACCTAGGAGCAGTGCTTTTCATAGAAATTGATTTAGGCGAATTCCATTGTGTGGCAATTACACCAATCTCTGTCGAGATCAACTGTTTGTGAGTCATATCTGTTCTCCGTTCATGTGACATTTATTTGGTATCCTTCCGCGATCATCGGGTGATGCGGCAACCTGCGTCCAAATTCATGAAGGGAGCAAATACTGCTCCAATTAATAGAGGTAAAATGTCCAGCTGACGAGGAATTCTAGAATGAACAGAGATCTGAAATTCACCGAATGACAGTACTGCACCCGCACTTCTAGGATGAATGGTTCATTCAAGAGGTTCCGAGGGAAGACAGGCTGCAGCTTTGATGACCCATCAGTGTCTTGTCGTACATTTATAAACGACATAATAAGCTCACGGTTGATATGCTTCTAGCGACTGTCAGGCCATCGAAAATGGAGGTGGTTCTTTCTCCGTTGCTAGTGGGCGCTGGTCTGCGCATCGGCTAATACCTTTTCCACTTCTGATGATATTAATGTCTCCTCAATTGCGGGTCTATGATAGTGGGCTCTTTCGAAATTCGACCTGCTTCTCAAAGTGAAATTTGCTTAGCGGACGAATGCGTACAATGACGGCCATACGCCGCCATTGAATTCCAAAGTGGTCGTTTGATTTGTCATAGTACTACCATATGCGTGGTGCTTATCTGACTATGAACTTTGGCGTTTATTTCCTGCTTGTTCCGGTTGAATCCTTCAACTCAACGTACTACCCCTAATTCTCATTGATACGGCCATGCTTCACGGAACCGGTTAGGTTTATCGCAATACTCGTCATAGTCGCCCACTAGTTCGCCTTCAAATGCCTCGGTTCGCTTCTCTGGCAATCTGCCTCAGAGTTCTATTAAGACTGTAATTTCACATTTTGAATGCACTTTTGGTATACTGGCCTCCCAACCTGTTGATAGATTCCCGTGAGCGGTCTGTCGAGTGGGATTCCCTTATTTCTGGAACTAATTTACGCTACTATTTTGCACCAAGTAGTCAAAAATTTAAAAGAAAATCACGGTCAATCCCTCCTGGACATACCCAAACTCAGTCTGGGATGTTGACACTTTTCGGCTAGCTAGCGTATACGGATGATTTTTTAATTTTAAAAATGATTTTCCACTTACCATTTTTACCCGTCTTTCTGCTCTCCAACTCAGGTCAGTGGGGGACAGACCACACCGGCCGTTCAACCGCCCGAGGTGGCTAAAGGAGTTCAGTCTGTATTCGTGGGATCTAAACTGGATGTGTACAGTGCTGGTGTGAGTCTGTACTTCATGCTTACAGGTCGTGTCCCGTTCTCCTGTCAGAACGTGCTCCAAATATTCGAAGCGATTGCCCAAGGCGAATACACCATCCCGGGTCACGTGTCCACCCACGCCGCCCACCTTGTCCGGAAAATGATGTACAAAGATCCCAAGGTGGGTTTTTGTTGTACATCCCGCACTGGCTACCATTTCCTCCTTCCTTCGGGACTTATTTCGGTGTCAATATCTAGAGAAGCATGTTCCTACGAAATGAATAGTTTGTTGGTCCATGTGCCGACGTCAATTCTGTATTCTGTCAGTTTGATTGACGAATAGGCTCATAGATGTAGTTGTAAAGTTTTGCGCGAATTCAAATGAGTTCTAGACTTTCTGTGCGCGCCGGCAGTTTCAGGTTGCACACCGCCCCACAGACTTATGTAATTCCTGTGGTTCTCGTCACCATTCGTGACCATTTTTGTATCTGGAATTCACGACACTGTTGCCTCAAGTAGCTGGTGCGAAAAGAGTGGGTGGGACAAGTACTGCATGATCCCATGGCGTCATCTCGTTTCTGGAGGTTTCTGTCATGTTTCCCAAACACCCCCCTTCTAAAGACCCCACAGGTATGGTTTCAATGAGTCTGTGGACCGCATCTTGACTTGCTTCCCCTGAAGCTTTTTCCGATCAATCAACTAACTTTTGGTTCACAGGTGCCCAAACCATGGGCAGAACAGAAGCCAGCATTTGAGGATGTGAGAAGCCTAAATTATCATGTTTTGGTTTGTTTCAACACCCTACCCTCTTGTTTACTCGTAACAACATTAAATGTTTCGATCTCTGGATATACTAACCGCTCACCGTGACTAAGTTCGCAGGTTGTACTGTCGTGTTCAAGCACGGTCACGAGTTGAATTCACGAAACGTGTGGAGATCTATCAATCAGAGAGCGAAAAGGTGTATTACTACTTCACGCATAGTGTCTCCCGTCATATGGATTCAGCGACGGAGCCATACCGCCATCAGCGACCTATAGTGACGGACCAGATACACTGGAGATTGACAGGCATGACACCTGTAGAAAAGAATGTAGTTTCAGTCCTGAAATGCTGATTTAAAGTCATCTTTTATCTCAGGAAGTGGGCATAGAAAATTATGCATAGGAGTGTTTGACACAGGTGCAAAATCTCGAGATGGTTCAGTGGTTAGAGCGCGAATTTACTGTCCGGAAGGTCCGTGGTTCGAACCCGACCTCTGCCTCTCGACTTCCTCTGTCTAGGCTTGGGCAACCTGGCAGTATCCCAGCCCTCGTGCTTCCTTCGAGTGGCGTCATCATCATCATCAACGACAGCATGACATCAGTGCTCAACACCAATGCTTCACTGCCGTACAGCCATGACTTATTTGAAAGCCTTATTGTAAAGAAAAG